CCCCCCCCCCCCAAAGACCCCAACAAAGTTGGAATTACATTTGGTTGTCGTTATTCTAAATGTCTTATAAGTACTTTCAAATTTCCTTTGTCTCCTCTACGCTCTTGGGGTTTAGGTGTTAGGGGTCTAAGATTAATATTGGGAAGCTAGCAAAGCTAGTTTATATATAAATTAGGGAAAAACTTGACACGAGTAGCTTTTTCCATAAAATGACGTGACCAAGCAGCTTTGTTTTGATTTCTTTAGTCTTATTAGAGCCTATTTAGATGTTACTCTAAACTCATGAAATATATTCACAACATTTGTTGGATATGCTCAATACTCAAAAGCTCCTTTGTGTGAAGAAACAATACTTGCTGACCCTTTAGAATAACAAGTGTGATTAGTCAACCCACTTAAAATATATTAAAACAAACATTTCTTAGGTCATGTAGGCCTCATTTAGGTTTGCATTTAGGTTGGAAAAGCTCCTTCACATTGTAATGCAATAGCCAATAGCTTGTATAAAATGCTAAAAGCCACTGTAATGCCAAAACCAGCGTCAAATGGGTTTGCATTATCCAACAACAACAACAAACCCATTAAAATCCCATAAAGTAGGGTGAAGGAAGGGTGTGTGCACAGAGCTTACCCTTAATCGGAAGTAGATAGGATGTTTCGAACAAGATCTACATTACACAAATAAAAAAATCTTAGAATCTCTTTTCTTTTACAAAACCACTTCCAAATGTGCCCTTAGTTGGTGAAAAACAATGCACTCCCATACACGCAGCTACCATCATTTTAGTGATATTCTTCTTATGTAAATATGAATACCAAGGGATTCAGACTTAGTAGGACCAAGACCGAATACATGGAATGCCGTTTCAGTGGCCGGGAGACGGTTTCTGAGGTGGAAGTTAGGATTGACTCTCACCTAGTGCCCAAGGTTGACAAGTTTCCGTATCTTGGCTTGGTCATTCAAGCAGATGGGGAGTTGGACGAAGATGTGCATCGTGCTGGAGCAGCTTGGTCTGAGTGGAGGTTGGCTTCAGGGATGTTGTGCGACAAGAAGATTTCGACCAAAATGAAAGGTAAATTCTACTGGTATGTCGTCAAACCAGTTATTCTCTATAGAGCGGAGTGTTGGGCGGCTAAGAAGAACCACGTGTGTTGTCTACATGCGGCAGAAATGTGGATGTTGCGGTGGATGTGTGGGTAGACAAGGCTAGATTGGATTCCAAACGAGGTTATTTGAGATCGACTAGGCATGGTGCCAGTGAATGATAAGCTCCGGGAAGCTAGGTTGAGGTAGTTCGGTCATGTTAGATGGTGGAATGCTGATGCTCCAGTGCGGAGATGCGAGAGGCTTTTGTTAGTAGGGGGAAGTAGGGGAAGAGGTAGACCTAGGAAAAGTTGGAAGGAGGTGATTAGATAGGACTTAGAACTGCTTAACCTTAGAGAGGATATGGCCTTACATTGGAACGTTTGGAGGGATAGGATTAGAGTAGTTGGGTAGGTGCCTTGTGATAGGGGGTGGTGTTGTGTGCTTGATATACCTTTTATGATTGGAGCTTTTTGCTATTTGCTTGCGATACTCTTGCTTCAAAATGTGAGTTTATTTTTGGGGTGTTGGGTGCATTTGTTGTGATCCTTCTTTTTGTGCAGCTTGAGCCGGGGGTCTCTTGGAAACAACCTCTCTACTTTTGAGTAGGGGCAAGGTCTGTGTACACACACCCTCCCCAGACCCTACTTTCGTGGGATCCAACTGGGTTGTTGTTGTCGTTGTTGTCGTTGTTGTTTGCTTATGTAAATATGAGTTGAAAATTAAGAATGTTCACACATTGGCTTCATCTTCTCTTTTGCAGTTCACTCTATTTATGGCTTCCATGATTAGATTCCCGTATTTGGTACTCGGGGCGTTTAAGCCTCAAGCAGACATGCTCCGTACAGATTAGTACCATTACCCTGAAGTCGTTAAGACAGACTCTCTCCAAGCTAACTAAGAGTTCATGGTGTTTCCCGGTCTCTTGTCCTTCTGAAGTTAAACCCGTCGTTTGACATAGTTGCTGACTGAGAAAAAGGTTACTTGACTCGTTCTTCCCGCCATGGCTGGCGTTGTAAATAAATCGTGGTTTAGGCCTTTGGTAGATTCGGCGAGTTCTTTTGGTAACTTGTGAAATCAAGAACACATGTCAATGGTTTTTTTTTTCAATACTATGACCAACCAGAGAGGAAAAGTAGAAATTAGTTCAAAAGACAGGTGGGATAAAAGTTGATTTGCTTCAAGTGAGGGTAAAGATATGGGGATTCTATTGGGTTTGTTGTTTTTGTTGTTATTTTGTTTTTTGTTCATTTATGAAATATTGAAATGCCACATTCCTAGTTCAACTCATTCTGCAATTTCTATGTGGCAAAATATATGGGAGGAAATGTTGTGGATTTTGCATATGTAATTTAGTTCTGGGCTACTTTTTTTTGGAACAAGTTTTGGGTCACTTAACAAACCCTATTGTAATATTTATTGGGTAACCCTCTAGAATGACTAGTTATACTCTGTTTAAGCTCTCACTTTTCTTTTCTTTTCTTTGAATGCTTTGTTATGGAGTTCAACTCTTTCATTTGCATACATTTGTCATGCAAATTCATCTTAGCTTAATTTATGTGAAATTTGAAATGAGAGAAGAGTATTTCTCTTTGGTTATAACTTGATCAAAATTATTTATAAATTGTTTTTAACTTTTTTTTTTTGAACACAGTACAAAATTTTATTCACACCACGAGTCAAAGTTCACATTACAATATCAACTACTACCAATCTGGCCGAAGTCAGAATTCCTTCTCACTTTAGCTTTTCCTATACAAATAGGTATTAAGATTAAACCAAATGTAATCTATACTATCTTCGACTTTGATGCTCTCTTTCCCATATATCTTCTTGTTTCTAGCCCTCCATATTGCATAGCATATAGCTGCCCACGCTGCTCTCCATGTGTTCCGTTGTTTTCTGCTCCCCTTTCTGAGTTGTTGCGCACAGAAACTCTGTGGTGAGTCCCCTCCTAGTCCACATCCCAAGCTAGGCATGATTCTATCAAAGAGACTCCTTGCATATTCACATTGCCAGAACAAATGTTCACTATCCTCCACACCTTTGTCACATAAGACACACCCATTGTCAATAGGCAAAAATCTGCACAGCCTTTGCTTTGTTTGGATCCTTCCCTCCATAATCTTCCACACTATCATACTATGTTTTGGCATTGTTCCTCTGTTCCAAACAATGTCATACCATTCATCTTTTGGGAGTTGACCCATAAGCCATGAGTACCCCTCTTCAATTCTATTCTCCCCGCTGACTGGCATGCTTTCAAACTCTTGTCTTACCTTGATCATTTTCTTCCAATAATAACAGGCATCTTGTTTAGGATGATAGCTCCAGAAATCCCCATCCTTAATATATCTAGAATGTATCCATTTTACCCACAACTTGTCTTTCTTCTTTGCTAAGTCCCAATTCAGTTTCATAATCATTGCCTTATTCCACTTTGTCAGATTTTTGAAGCCAATACCTCCTTTGTCTTTAGGCCTGCAGGTTTCCTCCCAGCTAATTAATGGGACCTTCTTGTATTTTTCCTCGGCCCCCCATAGGTAGTTTCTGCACAGAGCTTGTACCTGCTTCATAACCTTCCCAGGTATAATGAATATTCTTGCCCATAAGTTAATGATCCCCATTAGGACAGAGGATATTAACCTTGCTCTCCCAGCATAAGATAAGTTCTTAAATTTCCAGCATGTGATTCTAGCAGTTAACTTCTCCACCAGGACCTCACAGTTAGTGGATGAAAGTCTGTTAGACGAAATTGGGCATCCCAAGTATGTGAAAGGCAATTTTCCCTCTAGAATACCTGTCAGTCCCAATAGCCTGCTCTTTTCTGTTTGCTTTACCCCTGCCAGTACTATTTGAGATTTACTCAGATTAATAGATAGTCAAGTAGTTTTCTCTAGATGTGAAATGGCTTTCATTATACATCCAATTGATCTTTCATCAGCTCTACAGAGTAAGATTAAATCATCCGCAAAACACAAGTTCACAATTTTAAGGGTCTTGCATCCTGGATGATATCTAAAAGAACTATCCCTCACAAAATGTTCCACACTTCTAGTCAGATACTCCATGATTAAGACAAAAAGAAGGGGTGAAATGGGATCCCCTTGAGTAAGACCTCTCCTACCCTTGAAGAAGCCAGTATTTTCCCCATTAATGCACAGAGTATATGTAGATGTAGTGACACAGAACATTATCCAATTAACAAACTGCCCAGGGAATTTCATTGCTATGAGGATCTCTTCTAAGGCTTTCCAGCTTACCGAATCATACGCTTTGGATATGTCCAGTTTCATCATGCATCGAGCAGATATCCCAGCTCTGTTGTACCCTTTAGCCATTTCTTGACAAAGTAGGACATTATGAATTAGTTCTCTCCCTTCCACAAATGCACCCTGGTTTTGATTGATAATCTCTGGCAGCACCTTTTTTAACCTAGAACAGGCAAGTTTAGAGATTATTTTATAAATTACATTACAACAAGATATTGGTCTATAGTCCTTAGCTTCTTGAGGATTCTCCATTTTGGGGATGAGGACCACTTTTGTGGTATTGATCTGTTTGAGGGTTTTATTCTCCCTGAAGAAATCCATCACGGCCTCACTGAGTAACCCTCCCACCACCTTCCATTGACTCTTGAAGAACCCACTAGAGTAACCATCTGGTCCTGGGCTTTTACTATTAGGAATGTCAAACACCATTTTCCTTATATCTTCAGTAGTGAATGGTTGTATGAGGGCCAATTGTTGTTCTACAGTTAAGGTCTTTCCATGCTGCATCCCCTTCTGATTCATACTCTCTACCTCTATCTCAGTCCTAAGTACTTTTTGGTAATACTGCAGCAGTACATCTGCAACCCCTGTAGTATCATTAATCACTTCACCCTTGGCATTTTTTATGGTCACAATATTGTTTTGTATCCCCCTCTTTTTTACCCAGGCATGGAACAGTTTAGACCCCTGATCACTCACAGATATCCAGTCCATCTTAGTTTGCTGCTTCCTCATGAGTAGCATTGCTTTCACTTTCATCTGGTATTCCTTTGTAAGATCCTTCTCCTTCATTAATAATACTGCATCCTGACTGTTATCCTTCAGCTCCTTCTGTACATTATGCAGTTCCATTCTCAAGATCTCAATCTGTTGATTCATATGCATAAATTTGTCTGTGTTTAATTTCTTCAAAGGTGCTTTTAACTTCTTTAGTTTATGCACAAGCTGAAACATCTTCCTTCCTTCCACCTCCTCTTCCCAGATCCTTTTCACAATACCATGGAAACCAGGGTCCAATCTCCACATATCACAATACTTAAATCCACCACTTCTTAGTTGGGCATGAGGGGAGGAATAAGAATGGGACAATGATCAGAAATCCCCTCCTCTAAAATAAGAACTTTAGTTCCATTTTCCAGAAACCAGTCCATATTAGCCAAGACCCTATCCAATTTGGAGTAAATCCTATGGCCTAAGAATTGTTTATTAGATCAAGTGTAGAAGGATCCATTAGAAGGCCTCTTCCAATCCACACTGATTCATGCATTCCTTGAAGTCTTTGATTTCATCAAGAGATATATTGTTGCCTCCCACCCTATCATTCATATTTAGGACAGAATTGAAGTCCCCCAGGATACACCAGGCACCCTTTGTGTTTGCAGCATAGCTAGTTAGGGCAGTCCATAAGTTTTTCCTGTTACTTTGGTCATTATGACCATAGATAAATGTAATGTGGAAACTTTTGTTCCCCCTTTTCTCTGTAACCTTGCAGTGGACAGCTTGGTCAATGGAGTTAACTATATCTACCAACATCTCTCTTTTATTTCATACCACCCATAATTTGCCATTTGGGTGATCCTTAATATTTATGAAAGACCCCCATCCATGGAAGAGTTTCTTTTCTACCTCAGCAACTCTAGCCTCCTTAATTTTTGTTTCCATTAACCCCAAGAGCTTAATATCATACTTCTTAATTAACTTCTTTATTTCCTCTTGCTTTAGAGGCCCATTCAGGCCTCTGATATTCCACCCCCCTATCATTTTAAGAAAGGTAGGCGACCCTTATAGGGCCCTTTGAATAGGTCAGTATGTAACATCAATCCGTGATATAGTATACTACTTTTGTCAGGCAATAGGGATCTCTTAGCTGTTTTCCTTCTATTGACCTCAATGAATCCATCAGTATGAGCCTCCTGCTTTTCCAACATATTCTGATTAGGGGGTGTCTCCATGATGGGGTCCTCTTGTCCATGATTTTCCTTTATCTGTTCTTCCTTCTGTTCCTCCATTTTGTTGTGTTGTGCGTCCTTTAGTTTCCATATCATTCTTTTCCTATTCTGTCCTTGATTTTCCTTCCTTCTGCAGTCCTGGTTCTTGTGTCCTATCCCATCACATTTTGAGCAATGTACTGGACACCATTCATATGTGATAGATTGAGTTATCAATCTACCATTCTCATCCTGGAAAAGAACTGTCTCTGGAAACTCCTGCTTCATCTTAACTGATATCATTAGTCTTGCATATTCCATCTTAGTTCTTTTTACTGTAGCCATGTCTGTTCTCACTGGTTTTCCCACTAAACTTCCAAGCCTACTAAAGCTAGTCATACTCCAGTGTTTCACCTCCATACCTGGGAAATGGACCCAAATTGGGATGTCTTCTAATTCTTTCAGATTAACTTGACAACCTGGTTTCCATTTACTCACATATACAGGTTTATTGTCAAAGTGATAGAACCTTCTGTCTATAGCTTCATCCCTATCCTTCTCAGTTTTTTTAACTTATAAGTTAGCTGATAACATATTTTTGTTTGCTTATAAGCTACTCCCCTTGTTTACAATTCACAGACTCAAATTTCATTTACTTTTTTCTCTATTTTCGGTAGTTATTTGATAAAATAAAATAATACTATGTAGATCTTTTGATGTAGTATTTTATGGAATAATAAGAAATTTTATTTTAAAATTCTACACTATTTTTCTATAAAACGATTTAAAAATATTTTCGATCAAATATCGTAAACCCAAACAGAGGGAGGAACTTATT